CAGTATATCCGAATTTGTGTTATATCGGGGTAGAGGTGTATAGGTCAACCTAGCTGCATTGCTCAGGTGTGAAAAATTCACACCCCTGAGAGACACATACTTAACCTGACCTAAGCCCCGGTGTAGACAGCTCTAGATCAACAGAAGCATTCCTCCCTCGATCTAGCTACTGCATCTCTGGGGGGTGGATTACCTACACCGATGGGAGAATCCCCTCCATTGCTGTCGTAAATGTCTGTGCTACAGCTGTGTTGCTGGAGCATTTCCAGAGTGGACATACCCTGCGACCTGCAAGCTGCTCCACATGCGTGTTGAGCGAACTGCAATTGGAAAGCAATAGAATTATCTAACCGACTTAGCAGCCATAAATCTCCATGATAAAATCAGGGATGCATTTTTTGCAAAAATGTTGTCTTGTAACGAGGTTTTCTTTACACATGAAGTTTTTAACCTGCACAGCCACCCCTTCCAGCATCATACTTTGGTTCATTAGATGTTTATGGCTCCTTTTTTTAATGCAATAAATATTGTTGCACATCAGAGAACACATTTCCTGTAAATCCCATCAATTCAATAAATTTCAATGTTTTGCTTTAAATAAGAAAAGCGTGAATATCATTGATTTACCGAGATTAAAATTTGAACAAAATGGAGCAAACATATTTTTTGCCTTTTTAAAAGATCAGAGAAAATTGCTTCCAATGAGATCCTCCTAACCATGAAAATCCTTTGATCAGAGCACAAAGACATCTAGAATAACTGGATTCTGGGAAGATTTTATCTTTAACTCAGGAACTAAAGTCAGTCTGTGCATTGGGAAAATTTACATTTTAATTATCCGTGAGGCAGGGCTACAGAAATAGATAGTACGCCATTCTTGATACATGGCAGATCTCCCACTGCTAACAGGAGCCTTGTACAAAGCTCTTGGGCACAATAAAGTTGTTGTTGCGTTCAGCATTAGTCAGTGGGAAGCAATCCTCTCTGCTGGTTGAGTGTGCAGTACCCAGCTTGTGCAAACCACGTGCAGTAATTGAGATGAAATGGATGTGGTTTGTATCTCTGAGCATGGTTGCAAACGCAGGGAAAGAACGCTCCAATGGCTTTGCATCAGTTCACATGCGGAAGGTTTTCTTCACAGCCATAGGAGCAGGAAACTTTATTGAAAGGTAAAGTTTACATTCGGCCCAGTCTGAATCTGTCGTGCGGGCCAGATAAATGCCTCCCTCGGCTGTGCCAGGCCTGCGGGCTGGATGCTTGACACCATTGCTGTGGCTGATTAAGGCTGCAGGCTTGTCACGGATACTGTGATTTCCCAGTCCCTCTGTGAGTTCCTGCAGGAAGGCTGTAGGTGGGCGCCTCGCCGGCCCACTGAGGAGGGAAGCCTGTGGGGATTGTTGAGAGGGAGCCTGCTCGTCACTCACCTGGCAGCAGCAACTCCCATCCCATAGATCTCTCTCAACCCCCAGACCAAATGGTTTCGAGCCACTCCCCCCAACTTCTTGGTCCCAGCTCCCTCCACCCTGACCCCACTGCTGAACCACCTTCACCTCTTCCCCCCTCCCCCCCCACAGTCTGGCTGGTCTGGGAGGAAGCGTCAGGAGAAACCGGGACCATTTCCTTCTGCCCTCACCCTGGAGAGACCTGCACCAGCTGGGACCTTTCCACCTCCTAGTGGCAGCAGAACCAGGAGGTTGAGTGGCCCTGCTGTGGAAATATTTGAAGAGCTGATGTTTCCCCCACCCCCACAATATCTCGTGGGACCTTGCTGTGACGGAGGCGACAGCAGAACCCGGAAAGGGGCTGGAGCAGTTGCCTGGGCGCATGAGATTGAACTAGCCATTGGGAAGCAGGTAGGAAACAGCTGGCGGAGACACCCAGGGAAGAGACAGGACTCTGAGCACATGTGCCGGACAGTGGGGTGGGGGACAGGTCAATCAGTAGGGAGATGGGATAAATATGATTAGGTATCTAAATAAGGAGGCTGAAATCCAAGGCCTACAGGCTGAGGCCTGTAAGATCTTAGATTAATTTTAGATCACAAAATGCTCTAGAGGCACTTTTTTTTCCCTAACGTGTCCCTTAACCACAAGATACAGGTTGTGTCCATGCTAATGAGAATAAAAGGAACTATATACAACTTATGAAAAACAGGGTACACCAATATTCTTGGGGGACACAATACAAATAAGGAAAAAGAGGGTTGATTCTTTCATGCACATGTGCAGGGGATGAGGTATAGTCAGAATCACATTATAAAAAGAGGCTGCCCAGATTGGGAAAAGAAAACTCCAGCAGGACCCATCCCTCTACTGATGATCAAACCATGAGACCCATCAGACCCTAAGACTATCTAGGAGGATGTAACTACGGATATATGTTGGATTTATCTCTGCTTGGCTAGTCATAACTTTATTGGTAACTTCAATAAAATTGATAAAAGTTATTAGACCTTGTTCTTGTGAATGTCGGTTACTTTCCTTGGTCTTCATGTGTTCCTAGAAGCTTTAATTCGGAAACAAGTGGCAGAGGTCAAACTGTTGAGCTGGAGAGTATAGCCACCAGAGCCAAACCCACAGTGGTGTAATACAACAGCACTAAATGCTACACCACCCTGAGCCCCTGAGTCTGCACCAGTGATCAGTGGGATGTGATATAAGTGAAGTGCTCTGTATAGACCAGGGGTGGGGAACCTACTTAATTAAGCCCGCTGCTTAATTGAATCTGGCCCGCGGCAAGTCTCCACAACAGGCCTAGGCTCCAGGGTGGGACCAGAAATGAGGGGTTCGGGGTGCAGGAAAGGAAGCTGGGGTTGTCAGGCCGTTAAAAGTCCGGTCGGATCCGTGCAGCTCCCCAAAGTGGCGGGCATGTCCTCGTGGCCCCAGGGCGCAGGGGCAATCAGGGAATCTCCACGTGCTTCCCCCGTCTCCAGCGCCAGCTCCGCAGCTGCCATTGGGCGGGAACCACAGCCAATGGGAGTTGTGAGGACTGCACACCGCGCAGAGCTGCCTGGCCACACCATCGCCTAGGGGCTGGATGTGCTGGCCGCTTCCAGGAGCAGCGCAAAGCCAGGCCAGGAAGGGAGCCTCCCTTAGCCCCAGCCTGAGGTAAGTGCTGCCCAACCAGGGCCTGTACCCCAAACCCCCTGCCCTAGGTTGGAACCCCCTCCTGCACCCTAAGTCCGTCCCAGGCACCAACCCCCTGCCCCAGCCCTGAGCCCCCTCCTGCACCCCCAGCCCCTAGCCAGAGCCCTCACCCCCTCCTGCACCCTGAACCCCTCATTTCTGGCCCCACCCTGGAGCCTAGGGCCTGGCCCCGAGCCTCCGCACCCACCCTGTAGGGCTGGTGTGGCCTGTGACTGATTTTTTCTGTGGGCCAATGTTCCCTGTCCCTGGTGTAGACCCTCTTGGCATGAACTGAAAGGTACCTAGTTTGCCAGCTGTCTGCATGTGACAGAGCACAATACTTTTTAGAGCACTCTACAGAGCAGTGGTTCTCAACCAGGGGTCCGGGGCCCCCGGGGGGCTGTGAGCAGGTTTCAGGGGATCCACCAAAATAAACCAGAGAGGGACCAGCCTTAGATTTGCTGGGGCCCAGGGCAGAAAGCCGAAGCCTAAGCCCCACCACCCGGGCCTCAAGCCGAAGCCTGAGAACTTAGCTTCGCGGGGTCCCCTGTGGCGTGGGGCCCTGGGCAATTGCATTCTGTGCGACCCCTTAACGCCAGTGGCTTTTAATCTACTGGATAGGCAGAAAACCAGTTGTGGTGGCAGAGGTGGGCCATGGAATTTTTATAGCCTGTTTGGAGGGTCTCAGAAAGAAAAAGGTTGAGGACCCCGGCTATAGAGCACTGACCATGGCTTGGGCGGTGAATCCTGCACCCCAAACCCCACAGGAAACCTCCATTGCTTTGCCTCCTCTGAGACCTTGACCATGCAGTCCATGCATGTGCCACAGGTGGTGGAAAGGGATCGATATATAAATGTTTGTGCTTGCCTGCTTTGCTGAGACAGTGTTCCCACCCGGTCACCATTCAAAAGCTGCCACTCGCAGAGGGCGCTGCTGCGGGCGGTGCCCCTTCGGTGGGGCAAGGAGGAGAAGGTTGCTGGCCTATTGGACCCCACTCCGTGAACTTGGACCCTGGGTGGGTCACACAAAAAAGACAACCTGTAGTTGGTGGGTTGCCTTAGTGAAAAGTCTGGGACACACTGTCATTGGGTGCATTGAATTTGACTGCTTAAAAAGGTATTTTTCATAGTTTTGAGACTTACGCAGCAAATTAATGTTGCATAATTTGTGCAACATTTAAACAAGCATTACCTAACTTGTTTGACAGG